TGTACCATACGAAATATAATTGAACCATGCTAATTTCGAATTGTACCTCACTGAAACTAATTGTACCATGGTAATTTCGAATTGTATAGTCGTTTGCTTTAAGATCTGTGCTGTCAAATCAGTTCAAATAATTTGTGAACGCATTCAAATTAAAAAGTTGAATAGCGGAGCCGGTCAGGTTTTTTTCTCAACTCACTTTTCTATATGTCTTGATGCATGTGTTGAGTAATATGAAAGTTTTGATATTATTTTCAATATAAAAATAATATACAATATTTTAAAAATTTCAAATTTTACAAAAATTATATGCTCAAAAATTCTAGTAATGTAATTTGAGTATTTATAACACATAGTAACAACAGTATTTGGAAAGCAGTGGAAATATTGTAGGGAATAATGTCAATAGGTGTCGCCATGTTATATAAATTGAACATCAGTTTCATTAAATTCAATGAAATATCAATAATTTTATTTAAAAAAAAAATTTGATCAAATTAAATGAATATAAAATTATTGCATATCCGTTTTGTTATATAAAAAAAATTATATTCAATGATTTCATTGTGTCTCATTGACACCATCTCAAATGTAATACACCAATACAACCAATGCGCAGGTAAAAGCTACTTGTTGTCAGAAACTTTCATTTGTGACATTTCAAAGTGAAAGATGTTTGTTTACAAACAACACTGAAAAAAATTGTCGATTCATTCGAAACAGTCTGGTGTTATTTGGTGTTTGTTTTTATATTTTTTGATGATTTTTCTGAATTTATTTGTATAAAAATGAAAATTGTCTTTGTTTTTTTTTAGAAAATGAAAGATACATTAATTTATGCGTGATATCTAGTTAGTACGAGCACCAATTTCCTCCTGTCTGGATAACTTCGTTGAGACGAGTCGTCATTGAATTGTAAAGATGATCAATGTAATCGGTGCCACGAAATGACTCCCAACGTTCTTGTGCCTCCAAAAAAATTTCTTCTCGGTTTGCGAAGCCGCCACTTGGCCATTGATAAACCATTTGCGCCCAGACATTTTCAATTGGATTTAAATCCGGACTCTTTACAGGCCATTCCATCAATGTGATTTCTGGATGCGATGCAAACCATGCTCGTGAAACATACGACGTATGAAAACGAGCATTATCCTGTTGGTATGTGAATTCTTGAGTGCTTTCTCCATACGTAATGGCCATCGATGGTAAATACACCTCTTCTAAAATCGATGTGTACTCTTCACTGTTCACATGTGCTGTTGTTTGACAAATTTCGCCAACACCACCTTTTGTCACGTATCCCCACACTCCACATGTAATTCGGCCAGTAGTATGGGTGTTTTGAACGTACTTGGGATTGTAACGTTGTTTTTTCGGTCGCCATAGGCTCATTGCTCGATCGTTATGCGATTTAAAGGTTTTTTCGTCGGAAAAAACCACCAAGTCCCAATCTCTCCCATAATTTTCCTCGGCAAATTCAACACGAATCGCTTTTTGTTCGGGTGTCAATTCCGTTTGGTAAGCTGGAATGTGGTGATACAGCCCATTTTCACGGAGACGACGCCGAATTGTGTCATATGAAATTTCGTAGTCAGGAAACAGACTACTCACCGTGATGAACGGTTGCTGCCGAACACGCTCAACGATATCCAAATCAGTGGCAGCATTGGTTTTGCGTGGGCGATGACAAAATTTATAGTTGGTCTCAACGGATCCAGACGCTAGGAATCGGTTGACCCACAATGCCACGGTATTTTTCTTTTGAAAAAAAAAAACGGAAATTATTAGCTTCGTTTAATTACTCCTCGTATATTCCAAATACTCACGTGTACATTGAGCTGATCGGCAATTTGTTGATAGGTAATTCCGCCTTCATATAATGCAATCAACTTGCCTTTCATTTCGGGCGACAATGGTTTATTTCGATCTTCTCGCTCCATTTTGAAAATACGAACTAATTTGCATTTTACACATCAACTTATATTCCAAATACATGTTTGAAAACCAAAGTTTGCTAGATATGCAAGAAAAGCCAACTCGATGAATAAGCGATAATTTTTATTTGTTTTCAAAAAATCCAATGATGTGCAGATGCACAGTATGAGTTTCGTGTATATGATGCACACTACATTCTTGATCAACCGCATATTAAGGCCACTGTTTATCACATATTTTCAAGCATTGCACTTCATTATTTTTCTCCCATTTAACTTAAATCAATATTTGAGTGGGTGCCAATTTTGAATAGAAATGAAAACAATTCAATTTCAATTTATTTGAAACGTATATATTTGGTATTAATTGAAATAAATTGCCCAGGAAAAATATTTTTTATGTATCATTTTGAATTGGCGCGTTTCTAAATCCATTCAAAACTAGCAGCCATCAAAAATCAAACATTCTAAATTGTAATATTCTTTCCACATAATAATGAGCAATACATTTTATTTTTCTTGGACGATTTTAAAATATCTAATTTTTCCAAAACCACATTTGTTTGGCTCTTAATTTTTTATGGACATAATACGCACAATAAAATACGCATCAATTTAAAATCGATACCTAAAAATTATTTCTTTTTAACAATTCTGAACTGACAAGAATATATTATTTTTCTGAGCCGATTTTAAAATGTTTCGTTTTATTGAAGCAATCGTAAATTGGCCGCTAATTTTAAACAAATTTAAAAAT